CCACCCCCAGTCTGCTCAGGCCTTGGTGGTGCCGGACTGCGAGGCCTGGAGGGTCTGGAGCTGCTGGATCTTCACGCTCATCACCTCGATCACAGCTGGAGGAGGAAGGAGAGAGAAGGAGAATGTGAATCAGTCAGAGGGATAGAGGGCGAGTCAGAGAGAAAAGATGGGTATGCACTTCAAATCCTCCGACCCCTGAGAAAATATTCTGTTAGGGTAAAATCTCTTTTCAATGGCCAATGTCATTCAAGTTCTGTCCAGATGCCGCACTAAGTCCTAAGCCCTTCGTTTAAGTCCGCAGTTCTGTGACGTAGTGCAGCAAAGATTCGAGGGGCACCATTATAGAAAGGGTAATAGGACACCCTTGCAAGATGTCACTCGCTGGTCACACGGCTGACTGTCAAAATGCTTTCTCTTGTTGCTGCTTCTTTTCCAGTGGCTAAGTGCACGTCGCCAGAGAATTTTTTTAAAGAATGTTTCGCTTTCCACTCGCAGTTTGATGAAATTGAATGGCATCCTGTTTCTCCCTGCACAAAAGTAGTGACACATCGTGTTCATTCATGCCGAGCAAGCGCAACTCAAAGCGGGCGAAGAACACTAAGGACAACACCGCTCTGTTTATTCAAAACTTTACCACTAAATACATTTTATCTTGTCTGTCCCAGAACAAAAATGACAGTACGGGGAATGCAATGCTTTCATTCATGTTGAACAGGACTGATTCAAAGTGGACCAAGTAAACTAAACAAGGTAAACCTCAGAGCTTTGTACTATAAATACTGTCTTTCTGTGTACAAAATACACCATAGCTAAACAGATATTCATCTGCCGAAATGGGGTGACGAAATATTAGCTTTAGTCTACCCTTCATTTGTTTTTACATAAACTATTATGAGTTTTAAAACAGTAAAAAAGTTACATTTTACCAACACTTGAATATTTTATTCTCCATGAGAACTTCACTCCACTTTAATAGGTTAGAACATGAAACATCACCACTCTGCGAGGAACTGGGGGTAATTCCATTCAGCGAACTCTGCTCCGATGCATACTTAAAATAAGGGTGAACTGGGGGTGCTCGGGAGAAATGGGACACCCTAAAATTAGAAACCTCAGATCCCTGCAGGCCTGAGGGGAAACACACCTGAAGGGCAGAAGACCACAAGTGTGCATACTGGGACACGGCTTTTGTGGATTTTAATTTCTGTGTTCCAATAGGAGCTAGACTTATTTTCTAGGGATAAGCTTCTCCCGATTATTTGCCGACAGGAGTTTCTTTCTGGGAGAGCTGTAGAGCTGTGCTCAGTTGTGAGAGCTCCAGACTGGCTGGCTGAGTGGGCTCTATCCTGGCAGCTTTACGGTAGATAGACAGAAGACCAGCTTGCTGAAGATGGACCCCTTCTGTGAAGACTGAGAGGAGTAGTCCAGCTCCCTCAGCCACTGTCCGCAGGTGCTTTGTGCAGAACTCAACGATCAGGAAGGCTTTGGACTCTTGTCCCACCTATCGTTAATCATGATTCACGGGACCCCATACTACACTCCCAGAGAGAGAGAAGCACAGGGGCGTGGCAGTTAGAGAGAGCGAGGTGTATACAGATAGACTGAAATAGCACAGGCTCTTAAGGAAGAGTTAAAAACCTGCAACCATGGGGGCGACACATAAGAGTAACAGCAAGAGCAGAGAGAGGGGCCCAGGGGGATCTTGGTTTCGAGAGGGTGATGTGTGTCTATTAGTTTGAGGGTTTGGGCTCCTACCCTGTTTCATGGCGTGTTTCTCCTGCAGCGCTGGCTGGATCTTCTCGATCTGCTTGGTGAGGAAATCAATCTTCCTCTTGAAGAACTCCTTGGTGTTGCCCACATTCTGAAATGACCGACAGACAGACGCCGGGTTTCAATCAGCAGAAACCCATCCTGTGTTCAAACCAGGCACATATGACATCAGCCTTTCCCCATGCTGTGCGGTTCTGCAATTCACAGGACACAGGAAACAGCGGGGGGTGGGGAGGACGGCATGTACATGTAGGCGGTTTCTGGGGCTACTCTCACCTTCTCAACGTAATATCCTGTCCCCACATCCACGAGAACATGTTCCACATCATGCAGCGTGCCAGGAACGTACATCTGAGCGGGCACAAGTTAAGAAAAGCTAAAGACAAGCTTCTGGAAACCAGCAGCCATGATTCAGCTGGAAATGTCTCAAGAGCCCCTGACTGGCCAAGCTAGGCACTGTTAGGAGCGCTGTAACTGACTGGTTTTCCGGGCCCACCCACGGGAACTGGTGTTGCCACAGCAACACAGTTTAATTTACTTACTACTTGACTAGAAGGGACATTACATGTATTGGATTGTAGCAGCCAAATGAATGTCGTATTACACTTCACTGTTCGAAAATTGGCAGTCAGTCAGGGGGCGGTCTGCATCCTGCAAAAAACAAAATCCTCCAGGGGTCGACACATAGTTTTTACTCTGTCCAGTAAGAACACATGTGCAGTCGGGGGTCTCTAGTATTAGTGCCTCGGACTACAGGTGAGTAGATTCTTCGCCCGTTTTCTCACAGCAGATTGATCGATGGAGCTAAACTGATGCTGTGGCAGCGATTCTCCACACTGCAGTAGAGGCAGCAGCCCCAGGACTGTCAGGCTCTGCTGCAGTCATGGCAGCGTTTCATTTCCTCCCTACACTCTCATACAACCGCTGCAACTCCAGCCACAGTCAGCAGAGGGCACCACAGAGCCACAAAAGGATACAGAACTAGTCAGTGGGACGAGCAGCTCCTTTCCTGGGGAGAGGAAATGAAAACAAATTAACAGGAGGCCCTCTTTTGAAGGGGCAATAGCTGAATCCATTCATTTTCTAACTGTTTCATCTAATTCGGGGTATTGGGTGAGCAGGAGCCTGTCCCAATAAGCAACAGGCGCAAGGCAGTGTACACCCTGAATGGGACACCTGTGCATCATAGAGCAGACGCACACTAGGGTCAATTTTCCCAGACGCCAGTTAATCTACCAGTATGTATTCGGACCGTGGGAACGAACACATGTGAACATGAGGAGAACATACAAACTCCACACAGATAGGCAACTAGGAGTGGAATCTGGGGCCCCAGTGCTGTAAGGAAGCAGTACAAAGCAGACAGTTACTACAAGGTGGTCTAAACACTAATTGAAATATGTAAAACAACATCCTATTAAAACATGGCTCTGAGCAAAGTGCCATGGAATTTCTTGGCCACATTTTTGCTTGTATCTCTGTCTGCCTCTTCTTCGACAGGTGCTTACCTTCATTGGCCTTATTAAGCACATTTAGACAGTCCTTCGCCTCCACATACTTCGTCTGGACCACCTTCAACTGCCCAATGGAAGAGGTCAGGAACTCGACCTCCTGAGTCACAATACAAAGGAAGATGGTTGTTTAATCAGGTCATGCCATGGCTGTCCAGACCTGGTCCTGGGGGGGTCAATGTGTCTGCAGGGTGTCCAGTCCTGGTCCTGGGTGTCAGTGTGTCTGCAGGGTGTCCAGTCCTGGTCCTGGGGGTCAGTGTGTCTGCAGGGTGTCCAGTCCTGGTCCTGGGTGTCAGTGTTTCTACAGGGTGTCCAGTCCTGGTCCTTGGGGGTCAGTGTGTGTGCAGGGTGTCCAGTAGTGGTCCTGGCGGGGGGAGACGGTCCAGTTCTGGTCCTGAGGAATCACTGTAATCCAGGACCAGGATAGGTACCCCTTGGTTACACCCATCAATTTCACTGTGGCTCATACGTGGTCCTACATGAGCTTGTTATGACATAAGTGAACTGATAACTAAATTAGTCCAGTCTAATCACTTCCCATGTCTTCACCTTTCACTCAGTGATAAAGACCCTGTAGAAATGCAACACAGAAGCTTTACCCCTGTCGAACACTTCAGGCACAAAACATGTTTCCCACTGCTGCACTTTTAAAACTGTTTTAAAATGCTTCGCATAGGTTCTGAAAAGGGAAAGATTAACATGAATATGATTAGTACCCGGGCAGTGCGATTCCTTTTAAGCAGATCGATTCATTGGATTCAGTTCAGTGAACCTCTTCAAAAGATTCGCTCCTCTGATTCCCCAAGTCATTGAAAAGAACAGTGCCACCGAATACCAGAAAAATAACTACTTTATAAGGCTCACTCATTTACTAGGCTAAAGGGAACACAGGAAGAGAAACAAGATCAGACGATTGTGAAAATCCAAGAGAAAATATCCCTCATAGTTTGACAAGTGCTTTGACTTCATCGCCCCACACACAATTGTCTACTGCAAGGTAAAAAGCATCAAAACATAAGTAAAAATAAAATTTTATTATACTGAGTTATAACAGACCTCTCATGGAAGTAGACTGGGTAATATAACAACAGCGTCACAGAAAATGTTGATTTTTATTTACGAACATCTCAAAGGCAAGGCAAGACGAGAACAAGGGAGTGATGGTGGAAAACCAACGAAACAGCAACATCCCACTTGAGTTACCTCCTGCAACGGCCTGTCTGTCTGTACAGTGGCAGAGTCACACGTCACGGGCAGTACCCTCAGTCCAGGTTGGCATTCAAGAACACGATTTCACGCACTTTGGAAGGGCTAAAGTGATTCCTCCTCTCTGCGGCCACCTGCCCGGTCTTGGACCAGCTGCGCCTGCAGGGCGCGCACGCGGTCACGACGCACAGCTTCGCGGCCGTGACCCGGGAGAGCCTCTGATACACCGGCCGGCGGCTGGCCCACCACTGCAAAGGCTCTGCCGTCCGGGCAAGCAGAGGCTCCTCCAGAAAGCTCTTGACCTCCAGCGCGGCCTCCGATGACGGGGTCTGTG